TGCATACCAAAGGACGGGATGACTTTGGTCAGTTCATCCAAGAATACTTGCGCCTTTTCCTCCTCTTCGAACATGAGAACGATGTCGTCTGCATATTCCAGATCGACGAGGTTTAGGCTTCTTGATCGTAGCAGCGCCCAACTGCGAGTGATAAAGCGGTTTTAGTGTAGTATTCCGCCAAACGTCACCCACACTAGCACTGTGTGAGGATGCGAACGCGCACGTGCTCATTGGTCCAACAACGTTGACGGGCAAATCGGTATCGGATGCCAGCCAACCGCATAAAAGTTTGTGGCCAAGTTGTCCTATCGTAGATTCCGCTTTTCGAGTAGATCCAATCGATCTTAAATTATCACCTGTCTGAGGTGGGCAAAGCTAACCACCTGGGCTTGTGGCTAGTATTCACTGAAAGGTGTTCAATGGATAATATTGTATAAGGGAACGAAAAATGGTACAGAAACGTTCAGCTTGAACACATTTTCTGTGCCTAGCTGCCGTGCACCTAGAAGGAAGCACGAGGGTTGGGATACTTCCAGGTTCTCTAGACAGCGGAAGTCGAAATGCAGAGCTTGGGTTCGAACTACGGACCCTCCGGTCGGTAGATTCGCCCTGTAACCAAATGAAGATTAGTACGATAAGTCTGGTTGCTGTAGGTGCCGCTTGACTTCCAGGATGATTTCCACATGGCCTTGTCGTTCGCCTGGCTGGAGATACTGAAATAAACTAGTGCTAACCTGTGTCTTTACCGTTCATGCTGTCGGTTTATATCCAGACTTCCTAATCGAGTGTTGGGGGTGTAGGTACCTCGAATTTTTTTGTGGTGGGTTAGCGCTAGGTTCGCTAGCTGTCCGATTTCTCTCCTTCGCATTACGAACCTGGATTCATATGAATAGCATGATTGTACTGCAGTGAAGCACGGGTGTCCCCCCATGGTACTGTTGCCATTGATGATGGTGGTGATGACTGTTTGGGGAAGAAGTAGAACAGCCATCTTTGTTTATCAACCTTCATGGGTCTGAGCCCAATTGTTCAAGTATCAGTCACCTTTCACAAGCTCGTGCACATTAAGGTTTCATTACTTGTGTTCTGTGGACTACGTGTTAGTGATACTAACTGGCCGTATCTGATATA